CAGAGAAGGCAGAGTTCCTGCAGCAGCCAGAATGTAGGGGCTCTGGGGACCTCTGGTTTAGTGTAAAAAGGTAAGGGAAGCCCTTCCTGAGGCTGGGGTTGGAGTGGGGGCAATAGCCAGGTAAGGCCGGTTTCACCAGGCCTTAGGTAGTTGGGGTGGGGCAGAGCGGGAACAGAGGTGGGGGCATAGCCAGGATGACTCACTACAGTCAGGGAAAGGGCTTGAATTAAGAAATTAGGGTACAAGTAGCTCACAATAGCCCAGAGAGGTGCTGTGAGTATGTACAGAAGAGGTGAGCGAGGATCCAATCCCAACTAAACCTGAAGTCAGCGCTGCAGAAAAGTGAACACAACGTCCACAAGCAGAGCTGAGCTGAACTCGTGGGGTGGCAACAGCGAAAATGCAGCAGCACAGACTTCAGTGGGAGCTGTACTGGCTTGAGAGAATCCTGAAAATTTCCTTCTCAATGGGAGCCGTACAAACTTGAGAGAGTCTTGAAAATTTCCTTGGGCAGATAACCTGCACTGTAGCACATGCCCTGACTCCAGCTGGTGTCTGAGCAAGTGAGATTAAAGCTAGTTTACATATCACTATATGAGGTGCAGTGGTATCTCTGAATGAAGAACAGAGATACCCTGAGGATTATCATGTAATAAAAATTTCCTGTTATGACTTGTGCTGCTTCATAATGTGGTCCAAAAATAGGGAATCCACGTACCCGCCCTTGATATCTATATTAAGATATAATTTTTGCACATATCTGAATCAGAAATTTTTGAATAATGTAGCATTTTAACTTTCACAGGGGTAGGATACCACATAACTGCTGATACTCTTCTGCCATGTCACCTTTGTGATATGGAGAGTGTAAAATGCATATATATAATATATATATCTAAAATGCAAAACATGGCCTTTCAATTATCACTGAACATAATGTTGTACAAAAATATGCAAGGTTAATAATGTGTACTTGTTTATGTTTTATGTCTTGTAATAGATACCTGGGATGAGTCCTAAGTTCCTCTGAATATTTCTTTTCATGCTAATTACTGTGGGGTTTTACCTAATAAAGCAAAGATACTGTACCTCTGAATGATCAATTAAAAAGACCAGTCTTTCATCTAACAAAAAGTGTTCAATAACTTTTCAGTCTAAGGCTTCAAAAACTATCTTAATGCTTTTCTCTCTTTTTGTGTTCTTTCTGCAAAACAAGGTAAATTAAATGTTTCCAAAGATGACTGCTTTTATTATCTAGGCAAAAAAAAACAGTCTTAGGACTTCTTTTTTTTAGAAGTTAATTTTTACTATATTGGATCCACACATTACACAGTTCTAAAATCAATTCAAAACAAAGAAAAATATTTTTTTTTTTGGTCCTTCAGTGGTCAGTATTTTGGGTGAAATGTTTTATTAAAGATTATTTGTATTTATGTTTAATAATGTGAATTTCCACAGCACTGAACACACTTATTAGTGTCTAATGCTGGGCACGCTAATGTTTGTTTGCCGGACTCGTCTCCTGGTAGCGGATATTAATTTGTTTAGTATTTATAAACATCAGAATTTGAAACTGAGTGATTTATTGCCTGCAGTGATCATATATTAGAAGTCTAGGTTTTATAATATATTGACATATTGACTTGATGCCACAAGTGCCCTTGCTTTTAGATATATATTTTTTCCTAAGTTCCTAGTTATTTCAGAACAGAATGTAGTGTGGTTTATGAGATGTGAGTAACTACCTTGCATGGATTATCTGTGCCAAGATGAATAAAACAGTCTAGTAATAAAAGCAATGTGCAAATACAGTTAAAGCTTTATGATTTGGGCATATTTATTAATATGGCATGTGAACAGCTGACAGCTTTCAGCCATGTAACACCGATAAGAAAACATACACAAGCTTGTACTCTCTATTTCAGTCCTGAAAATAAAAAGTAAAAGCATTGGTTTCAGCATTATTATCAGTCTTAAATATTTCATTAGCCAAATGTTATTTTAAACAAACAAATATCAGTATGCTTAAAAAATGTAGTGTTCTAACAGTACATGTTATAACTTAGCAAGACCTTTACAGTCACAGACTTTATTGTGTCAACAAACACTGTTTATGGTAACTTTGTAAGGAATGGGCAAAATCTGTCTTAAGTTACATCGATGCATCTGCAAACAAAGTTTGACTGCATAAGTTCAGGTAGGTGTTCTTCCATTCCTTAGCAAAAGTTATTTTAAATAATACACAAAATGTTTTAAACATCCTCAGTGAGCTCTAGTGCCAAGAAATACTTCCAAATGAAAGTATTATATCTTCATATAGCAGGGTGTTTTTTAAAAACAGCCATTTTGTGCATTCCTGATTCACACTCCTTAGGAAGGCAGGCTTTTTAGAGATACGACTAAGTACATTAAACCTAATTAAGAAGTTAGATGATAAAGAGACAGACTTGGCTTCAGATGGCATTACAAAGTACAGCATCAGGAATCACAGCTGTGTGCACTTTGATTTTATTTTAGAGCCATGATTTCTGTTTCTAATGTGCGTAAGGAAAAACAATTCAAAAGAATGACCAGATCACATTGCAATATTCTGGCAGTTCAAAATCACTGGTTTTCAGATTGTCTGTTCAGACCTTTAACCTTTGCACAAGACAGTGGTTCCTAAACTGTGCCCTGTGATCCCTGGAAAGCTCAGTTGTCGGAAGTGAAAGCAGCAGAGGCACAGGCATAGCCCCGTGCCAGCTAAGAGGGAACAGGGCAAAGTTCAGTAGGAAAGGACACGGTGCAAAATAGCTTGACAAGTCTTGCATTAAGAGATTCTTAATAGGAGAGACATTATTACTTGCTCTGAAGAAAATGGTGATTTCAAAACTATAGGCCTTGGCATTATTCCCCCCCCCCAGCCCCAATCATGCCTCTTGAATTCAGCCAGTTTCTGTTGATTAAGGAAGGAAGGAAGGAATGTGTGAATAAGATTGCTGAAACCATTATTGAAACACAATGAAATGCTTTGTTCTCCCAGCCAAATCAGAGTTATGGATGAGATTCAGATTATATTCAGGCATAAATTCTGTGCTGTGTGCCTATAAAACATGCCCTTGGATAGCTGTTAAAATACAGTTCCTCCTCCTCTTAGGAAGATTACATCAAAAGAAAACAGTAACAAACGTGTGTTGTACTAATAAGGACTGTCAGGCTGAGTCACAAGACTTTTCTATGCAGTAAGGACAAGCAGAATGAATTTTTTTTTTTTAACAAAGCTTAACTTTTGAACAAAACATTTTTCTTTTAAAAGTTTCCAGATTTTAACTGTTAGGGAATAATAAATTAGTATGCATAAGGTATCATTAATAAATCTGCCTCTACTACAAAAGTATTTTCTAATCTTACTGCTTTAAAAATCAGGTTATTTTCATTAATGACAAAGGCATTATGGAAATTCTTCTGCTTCCACTTAGTTTTACTATGTGTAGTGTTACTGAAAAAGAGAGGAGGTCTTTCTAAAACAGAATTAATTATTCATTTTCTTTTAATTAGAAGATATAGATAAAAATACAACTTTGAATTGAATAAAGGTGATGGTTCTTCCAGTGCTTGTGGAGTGAATAGTGCTTGCTACACTAAAGCCAGAAACTTACTGTTCTTTTAGATTGTTTGGGGAAGTTTAATAAATATCTGTAGCTATAATTAAATATCTCATTTCAGAACAAAAGAATGATTTACAGGGTTTAAATTATTTTAAGATGTAGACTGGAAAATAATATTAGGATTAAGGTTTAGTTTAATTTAAAGAAATCCTAATGTTGATTAATGCAAGCATTCCTATATGCATGTATGGAACATGTATATGGATTGAAACACTCAGAACTGAGCCTCTGATTTCCTTTAAGTGGATGTGTTTCATACCTGAGGTATTTGAGCCTAAACTGTTGTCCTATAGTCCATTTATTAGATATAGCTTAAGAATACTGCATGGAACTGAGTGCACTTAGAGACCTAGATTTTGTTATCTGTTAGGTATTTGTGCTTTATGAGGTAACATCTCTAGACTTCTGATAGCATAGAAGATGTGGGAAAAGAAAAAAAGGGCTCACTTTCCAAAATCTGGCTTCATCTATATATTTTTAAAAAAAAAAGGATTAAGGAATAAAATTTTTATTTGTGCATTATAAACAAAGACCAGATACATTCTTTCACAAACAAATGTTTTTCTGCTGCACCCATCACATTCCTTGACACATTTTCTTCCTGCAATTTTTTCCCTGTACTGATTCTGAGGATTCCCCTGTGATTAATGCACAGGCAGAAGCCTGACCAGTTCCTGTGACTGACACAGGCCTGTACACTGGGGGGTAAAAAGTAATAGAAGGGGCTGAGGTGGCAGTGTGAGTGTACTCAGCTACTGCCTCCTGCAGATCCCTTACTGAGACTTACTGAGATTCACTGTGGGTACACCATATATATGACACTAATTGAAAGTTTCTGCTTTGCTGCATGTGCACTACACAGCATCTACTTCTGGCCAGAAAATCCTTGCAAGAAATGTGATAGTGCAAGCCAGAGCTTCAGGTTCTAGCTATGGCATCAAATAGAGCATACCTAAATCTAAGCTGTGTTGTAATAAAATAATGACAGAGCAGAGTTTTCCTTTCGGATTGTATTCCCACTGCCAGCTGCTGCAGCAAAAGGAGAACAGGGCTGTAATGTTTTGTGGATAGTGATTTTCTGCCCTCTGTTATTATGTAAACCAGTTTCTGGAATGGGAGCTCTTCTGAGCTGCCATTCTTCTGCATTGTGACACCAGTCTGAATTCAAACTTGCAAGATTTCAGTTCACTGGGCAGAATTTACTTACTCTCACGTTTTCCTCATGTCACTTATTCAGCTTTGTGTTACACAACCTAGAATGGACTGGAAACAGGCTGGTGGTGGTAATTACACCTATGCACATAACCACAGGTTAGGAGGCATATGCTGAGAGATTAAATTCTCAATACATACCACATTTTGCACCTTTTATAGACTTATATGGCTAGTGGTTGTTGGAGCCTTCATTGATCTCCTAAGCAGTCCCAGAAGCTGCTCTCTGTTCAGAAGTTCTCTAAAAAGAAAGAGTCGGTGTTATTAAAAAGTAGATATTAAAGTCTGGGGGTAGTATATATCCTTAGGGTCCATATTTGCCTATTTAGTACAACCTCAAACAGTTTTCGCTCCTATGCAATTCTCACAAAAAAAAAAAATTAAAGAATGCATAACAGAGGGCTGTTACTACTCCTCCCTAACTCTGGGTAAGAATCCTCATTCCCCTCCAGCTTAGGGAAATTCACTGGCACAGAAAGGTATAAATTACATCTCTGTGTGCCAGCTGCAGAGAACCTGGCCACAAATACTTCAGCTGAGACTATTTTATTCATTCCTTTAAAGGAGAGTGACGAAGGTTTTGCTTTCTCTGATCTTGTAACATAAAAAATATTGATAGAACAATCTTTAAGTCAAAGGATAGTTAAGTAAATGTTTATTTTAGACTTACATTATTAAGTGCAGCTACTTAAAAGTGAATAATTGCTATCAAAGTGGGCACACGTGAAAGTAGTAAAATGAGATAAAAATGTAGGAGAGTGAAAAGGCAAGGAGAAAAGTGGCTTTCAGTGTAACAATTAACCACCCAATCTACCCTGCCTTTATTCACTGCAGGATAATTCATTGTAACTGAATTAGTGGTGAAACATTCAGTAATAGGCCTTGGTAAGGAAATAGGAGCAGTGTATCAGGATATCCTTTTTCCGCCCCGGAGTACCAATACTTTCAATTTTATATACAACGGAAGTAATTAATTGTAACACAAAGAAGCCCGGCTGTGTTTCCTGATGGTCACACAAGCAAGAGCTACTATTGTTTAGCATTTTGAGTACGTACAGTGAAAGCTGCTCAACTGCTTTTTGGGGGGGATTTAATTTCCATTAGTAGCTTTTGAATGCATAGTGGATTATTAATATGCTATTATCTTAGATCCAATCCTGCATCCCTAATCAGGTAATTTTTTGCTGATGCCAGTGAGAGTTTAAACTGTATTAGGTACAGCTGCCAAATGCAGAGATTTGCAGACACAGGCAAAATTTTCACTGGAAGCAAAGGGAATTATAGACTGTTTCTGAGGATTTGCTTTTATTTGTATCTTTAACTTGTTCAAGTTGCAGTTTTAGTACATATTCAAGTGTCTTACAGACTAAAAGAGAAAACCTTCATGTCCATGCCTTTAACTTCATTATATATTTTCAGGCATTTTAGCTGACTGCTGTGACTGAAATACAAGTATATCCTTTTATTATCTTAGTTTTGCTAGAATATGAAAAAAACCAGGAGAGTATTTTGCTGCATTTGTTCTTACTTCACAGCAATGCATTCATGTTTAAAGATATGATTAGACTAAGAAAAAAAAGGATATGATGAAATTATTTAGTTCATTTGTTTTGTAAAGAATTCAGATCTGTTTCATTCTAACAAGCTTGGAAGAACATAGCATTTCCAGCCTTATAAATGTCCATCTTCATAAATCTCTACAGTATCCACCACTACAGGTTTCAGAAACACATCCACTTGAATCCATGCCTCCTGAGGACAAAGTTGTTATAAACAACAAGACAGAAATTTTCTGTATTGAAAAGAATTCCCCTTGTCTAACAGCAGGTTTAAACAATTTTTCTGCTAATTGTTAATAATTGTTAATACTGTTAATACAGTGTGGACTTGGAGCTAAGGATTATTCATATTCTTAAAAGAAACTAACAAATACCTCTTAAAATAAAAGGTGGAGGAACACAAACATAGCTTAGTTATTAGCTTCTCTCTGAGTGTACTTAAACCATTTGGCACTGCTGACTGATAATTCAGAACATAAATTTTAAAATCAGCTCTACAATCTAACTCTAAATACTTAATCTTCTCTGAGAAAATGAACACTTTTGGGATTTTATGTGCATGCATCTAGGGGAAAACATATTACTAATTCTCCAAACAAACTGATGTGAGTTTGGCACCCTGGTGAAGCCTCTGCTGAGCCTACAAATATTTTCTTTTTCTGTGATTAAACTTTTAATGTTCTTACTACCCAACACTGACTTTAAGAAAAAAACAAAATAATTTGAGGTGTTTCTTTGTATTTATAAGTTATCTCAGGGTTTATTATGGTCTGGTGAAAAGACTACAATATTGCTTTTGTACCTGGGAATCCATAAAACCAAAATAAACCAGCTTCACTAGGCACAGGAAGAAGAAACAGAAAAAGCAACAGGAACTTTGGTTCTTGACTGGCAAAATGTCTCCTGGAGCAAAGTGCTCCCATTCCTGCAACCCTTTGCAAGGTGCAGTGGAGTTCCCCACCACACAGCTCCTAAGGAATCCTTTCTGCCCCTGCAGCAGCTGCCTGAGGCAGGGACAGGTACAGCCATTTGTCCTCCTTCCTCCCCAGCCACCTGCACAAGGCAGGAGCCCAAGCAACCCCAAAATACACCAAGAGTTTCCTGTTTCCTCGTGCCCATGCTCTGCACGTTGAGCTGTTATTCTTTGGATTCTTGCCACAGGGCTCTCCAGTGCTGCACTGTGCCCAGTTCCACATCACACTGGGGGGACCGAAGGTTGGCCGGGGCTTGACTTTTTACTACCAGTGCTTCACCAGCAGAATTTTTTAAAAAAACACCTTTCTTCACAGATTTGATTCTGTCTTATTGAATTAACTGTGCTTAAATTTAAAACACTTAATAAAATCCATGACATTTCTAAGTAACAAACAGCTGAATAAATTTAGAATGAAAAGAATATGCTTTCAAGTAAAATAAATCTGAAAAAGAGACAAAGCCAAATTCATGTCATTTTAAGTGAAATAATTGTGTCCCTGGCTGAAGGGCAATATTCTTTTAATATGTAACATGGAATATTTATTTTGGTAACAGTAACAGAGAAATACTCATCTAATTGCTAACAGTTTTCAAAAATATATTTGGACACAGATTTAAGACATATGAATTCCAGAGACTGAAGAGAAGAAGGATCTACACAGATAAAGTCCTATCACATGGCTGACCTTCTCCCTATATATATATACCTCTTTGTTCTTTTGATATTCAAGTCTGTAGTTCCCAAGTGATTCCAAGAACTAATGAGAAATTCCTGGAGAGGACATAACAATGAAAGCAACTGGAAGATTATCCAATTCTTGATTTATTTTTTTTAAATACAACTCTCTTCCTCATGACAGTCAGTCTTGAACTGCTTTTTTTATATCTCATGTTAGATTTCCACATCCCATCCTTGCCAAATGAACATATGTTTATTTTCAGATTTTCAGACTTCAGTGTCTTTTGAGTGCTGCTCAATTCATAAAATAAATACTTGATGTTACCAAAACCTGGTGTGTCTGACTTTTTGCAGATTCCTAAAATCTTCACCGGGTAAGATTCTGTTACTGATAACTAGCTGAGTGGAACCCTGTGCCTTTCTGAGAGCCTATCAACTAAAGCGTTTGTTTGCTGGTTTAATAGGCATATTTCCTATCCTGGTAGAGATATTGGAAACATATTTTAAGTACTGCACTGTTTTGAAGGACACCAGTACCTTCTATGTGATGTTTCATCAGACATCCATCACAATCTAAATACTTTTTAACATGGCTATGACTCAGTATTTTAGATTCAGTTCATTCTCTTGCAGCCCTAATATTATCCTAATGTAGTTTACTTTTGCAGACTTTATTTTGTGATTAAGACAAGGAGTTACATGGTGCTCCTTAATGGGCATTATTTGCCATAGCAATATAAACTTCATTCTCAGCAACGGTTTCTGACCTGGCAGGGACTATCACTTGTGGGTATCTTGAGCACCCAAGTGCCTTGAAAAGTATCAGCTGGGATGGCAATTTCTGCAATGTGCAAATCTCCACACCAGGAACTGGACGAAAAGAGTCGATCCATTTCACAAAACAGATTAAATGCATTCCAAGGCTAGTGGCCTTTGCTAAATTCATGCATACTGGATTGAACTCAATATCTAACATCTGAAAAGCACAGGGCTGTATCAGCACACAGTATTACTGAAGAGATGCTGGCATTAACAGCTCTGGTTCTGGTTGGGAGCACACACACGCATGTTGCATTCTTCTTCCATATTGAGTGTCTATTCTGCTGCTATAATCTGATAGTAGACAGAGTGGAAGAACAGCAGACTCATATTTTCCTTTGAAATTATAAACATAAGCATAGGAGTTCTGTATTGCTTGGCATGGAAGCCGTGATTTTGTCTTTCTTGCTGGCTGGCTTTGTTTTGGACACTGACAGATTTTTCTGGATGATGGTGATCGGAAAAAATTTTCTATAAGTCTGGTAAGACAGGAGCTGCATTTTTAAATGCCTATCACCATAGTATCTGGCCACATACAATTACTAGGTGTGCCTTTGTTTTTTAAAGGCCTGCCTACATTTTAAAGGAGTCTGTGAAGTTGATAGGTTTGAAATGATACTTCCTCTTTTGTTTTGCTGTATAGGGTAGCACACAAGCTAAGCACTCACCAAACGATGTGTGGGTACAAGGCATGTGAACCAGACTGCAGAGCCAGCATTCTCATCTGACATTCAGGAGTGGAGTGCACAACATTTACAAGTCCTATCTGATATTAGCATGCAAAAATGGAGCTAGACTGTGGAGAGGTCAACAAAATAAGCAAGCCCATGTTTCCCACAATATAATGCACATGTGGCTATTTGGCACCGATAAGCCAGATTGCTTCCCAACTGGTTATTCTATGGAAACAGTTTATCTGGGCAGGCATCTCAACATGAGCAATTCCTGGTGTGTCCTGAAGGCCTAAAGGGTGTTTTGGTCTGCAGCAAAGGGAAACCGAGTCGGTCTGTATGATCCATATGATCTTCATTTAACCCTACACGTGCAAAGTTCTTGAAGCAGAGTAACCAGGTGACAGGACAAGGGAAAGGCCAGACAATGTCAGCAGCACAACTGCTGTCACTCTGTTGAGTGAAGGACTGAAACCAGCAGCCCAGGTGGGAGCTGTGGGGTCTCATAGAATCATAGAATCGATTGGGTTGGAAAAGACCTCTGAGATCATCGAGTCCAACCCTTGGTCCAAATCCAGTCCATTTACTAGATCATGGCACTCAGTGCCACGTCCAATCTGCGTTTAAAAATCTCCAGGGATGGTGAATCCACCACCTCTCTGGGCAGCCCATTCCAGTGCCTGATTACTCTCTCTCATGTTGACAACACTGCTGTCACTGAAGCTCTTTCTGCACTGCTGCTGCTGGGAGACCTCACTTGAAGACAGACAGACAAATTATTGCTTTTCCCATTTGTCCTAATGATAAGGAGCTGGGAACTGCAATGCAAATCATGGCCTTCAGCATCCTTATCAGCGAGCAGAGCAGCTCATTGCAGAAGTTATAATGTATTCCAATCTAACTGGGCTTATTTATTCAGAGACACAGGAAATGGAAAAAGCAAACAAACAATCCTGTCCTCTGCCATGGAACTCTATCCCTCGTGCAGCACCGACACGTCAACCTTCTCAGAACCGTTTTTCCGCGAAGCCAAAAGGCCCATTGGAGTCCCTCATTTTTCCCTACGCTGCTGCCACCACGTCCTGCCCCTCGCCCACCGCAGCTCACACACAGGCCCCCTTGAATCCACATCAAAGCTACTCCGGTAATCCCCACCACCACCTACTCCGTGAATCCTGGCAGCTGCCCCGTTTTCCATGGCGCCAACTCCACCAGCATCTGGATGGAGCTCCCCGGCCCTGCAGCCAAATCCAGCCGCGGCTTCTTTTCGTGCCTCGATGCCCCTTCTCGGCCAGCAGCGCTTCCGAGACAGCGACCTGGCCGCGTCCTGCTCTCACACCTTCCTGCCCTTCCCTACAGGAGCTGCTTCCCCAGGAGAGCCCTGCTGGGCGGCGGGGCGGGATAACGCCCGGGCCCGGGCGCTCGGAGACAGGCCCGCTCAGGCGGCGGGGCCGCGGAGGGGCTGCGGGGGAGGCAGAGCGAGCCCGGCCGGTTCCTCCCGGCCAACTTTTCCTCGCCGCGGAGCCGCTCCAGCGCTCCCGCCCCCGGCACGTGCTGACGGACGGGCGCGCTCCCGCCTCCCCGCGCGCCCCCGCCGCGCGCGCGCCCGGCCCGCAGTGATTGGAATCCGGCTCGTTCCCGCCCCGCCCCGCGGGGACGCGCCGGGAGCGCCCGCCGGGACACGGAGCCTGCGCCGAGCCCGCGCCGCCGGCCCGGCCCGCCCTCCCTCCCCCGCCCGACACGCACCCGCCTTCGCCCCCGTCCGAGCGCAGCCGTCGGGGCCCCGGGAACGGCCCGCGGAGCGCGGCGGGGCGCGGCCCCCCCTCCCCGTTCTTCTTCCCTGCCCGCGCCGAGGATGAGGAGCCCCCACGGCCGGTGAGTGCGGGCCGGGCCGCGGAGGCCTCGCCCGAGCGGGGAGCGCCGGGGCGCCCCGGGCAGCGCCGCGCCCGCTCCGTGTGCCGGCCGGGGGGCGCGGGGCGCTCCCTGCGCGGCGCTGCCCCGGCCCTGCCCGGGCCGTGCCCGGCGGGGGCTGCGCCGTCGAACGCGGGTCCCCGCGGCGGTGCCGCCGCCCCGGCCCGGCTCCCCCGGGCCCGGGGGGCGCCCCGGCCCTTCCCGGCCCCGCCGGCCCTTCCCGGCCCCGCCGTGGCGCTGGGGGCGCTGCGGCCGCGCCGCGGGGCCGCGGGCGGGGGTCGGGCCGGGCCGGGCCGGGGGCGCCGCGGGGCCCGGCGGGTCCTGCGTGGGCAGGGCCGGCGCGGCGCTCCCCGGCCCGGCGCTCCTTCCCTGCTTCCCTCCCTCCCTTCCCGGTGTTGTAATCCCGGGCCCGCTGCCGAGCGGCCCCGGCCGGACCGGGCGTCGTGGGAAGGGTACGAGAAACGAGGTGCTTCGCCTCCCTTTTGTGCGAGCCTTGAGCGGAGCCGGGCGCCTGCTTTCCCAGTCGGCTTTTACCGGCGTGTAACAAAACGCCATCTGAAGAAATAATAACCCCTAATTCTCGCCCGTACCTTGGTAGTGAAAGATGGTGCTGTTGAGGACCGGCTAACAACGCTGTTTTCATAACTGATTACAAAATCTATTGAACGGGGTTCAAAAGCATGAATGGCTTTTTACCACCTTTCAATCAACCACCCTCTGATGTTGTTTTGGTAAAATTAAGAGTGAATTCAGCAGCGGGGAATGGCAGTAAGTTGTGGTATTTCCTTTCAGCAGTCGCCTGTTACTTTGTGTCAGAAGTAGTGTGATGATTCTTCCCAGTGTAAATTGATTCCCTCCGAATTTACATATTTTGTTCTCTGCTTACAGGTAATTATCTTTGCGTTCTTTTATCAAGTTAGTGCGCTAGGGATTGTTCAGGCCTGTTACCTGCAAGGATAGAGAAGCTGCTTTTGTAGGCAAGGAAGACTTGCCTGAATTGCGAGGCTTGCCTGGTTTGTAGTAGAACCTAGTCCCTGAATAAAAGGTTAACATGAGACGATGTACATTCAGAGACTTTGTCCAGTCCATAGCCAGAAATACCCCATGTTGTGGCATTTGTAGCACTCTGGACTCTTGCTGGCAACGTATTGGTCTTTTGTTCTTGTACTTTAGTTCCTTTTGTAACTTTTTCTTAGGTTATGCACCACGTTTTGGGGAGAGAGTGTGTATGTATGTGTATTTTATATTTATTTACATAGAGACATACAACCTGGTGGGCTTTGAGTTCTGGTTGGAAATGATTCAATTCAGTCCTCAGAATGCCCTGCTGGCTGCTCTGTTCCAGGGACAATGAATGTGTGTGGCTGGATGTGTGGCTGAATTATTTTTGTTCCCTCAATTGTGACGTAATTTAGGTTTGAAAGCGAGCTCTGCATGTTACCTGTTCAAGCCCCTGTTCAAGGTAGAGCAGAAAGCTGTTGGTAAACTGCAATCCTGAAATAGCACCTTACTGGGAATTCATTGAGCAAATACGTGTTTAGTGAAACACTATCGAGCTAGAGCACGGAATTTCTTAAAGTCATTGCATGGGTCCCAAATCCTAGTGTTTTGGACACTGCTGTGCAAGATCCTCACAGTGAAAATTGTGTGCTTTGTTACGAGAATCAAAAATACTGACTATGGCAGAGCGTGTGAGTGGTACATGGGCTTTATTTGGATACCAGCATTTAGGAATTAAGGTTTTAAACTGTGAGTGATATAACCAAAGTAATAACTTTGGTTTTATAGTAGTTGTATTTATCGAACTACTCCAAGTCAGGGCTAACAAATTTTTGGTTTGGGATGAAATATGGTGCTTGTTCAGATGTGCAGTAAACAATGCCTGCTAACTCCTTCCAAAATGGACATATGTTTGCAATGGATAAGCATTACTCTGGTGTGAAATGCCGTGGAGTATTGCACTGCAAAGGGGAAAAGGTTTCGAAGAAGCAATGAATAGCTTTGTCTACTTCCCAGAGGCCTGAAAGGCAGGCAGATAATAGATGATTTTAAAAAAAAATTGCTTATTTTCCTTGGGTTTAGAATTGTGAATTGCTAATAGTGGATTTGTTCAAGAAGCAATATACATATTCTGTGGTTATGGAATATGAAAAAAGTAGGAAACTACTTGTTACATATTTATTAACTTATATTTTTACAACAAAAAGTCAGTGCAGGGTATCTTCATAGAATCACAAAATCATTCGGGTTGGAAAAGACCTCTAAGATTATTGAGTCCAGCCATTAACCCATCACTGCCAAGTCCATCACTAAACCATGTCTCTAAGTATTTAAAAACAAAAAAATGGTTGTAAAAACAGTGATCCTTAATATGTCTAAATTAATGGAATCTTTCTTAAAGAGAACTTCCAAGGTGTGGTGTGGCACAAACATGTAGATAGGAGGATCTGAGCACATCCCCTTCACAGAAGGGACCAAAGAACAGAGATATCAGTGCTTGCATTGATTTTGCCATAGCCAGGTTTTCCAAGAGAAACACACCCACTTCCCTCAAAGCCCTTAAAAGCAAGCAAACCAAAGGAAAAGATTCCCTCCTTTTCTTTTTTGTTGACCATTGTGGCTGGTAACTTTGATGATGAGAACAGTACCTCTTTCCAAGGGCAGGTGAAGGTCTAACACAGTAACTTCTTTGGTAAATTGCTGAAAAGTAGATGGATGAGTGAGACCAGGGAAAGTTTTACAAGTGTTTGTTTCTCCTTGCTTATGTCAAGCATCAGTTGAAGATCTGTCCTTTCTCTCTGGATATCTGGGAAAGCATCAGGTATTTCTTGGTTCCTCAGTAAAAAGAGGGCATATTTTCAGTTCCTGGGATTTCTTCACTTATCTTCTGTTTCTTATCTTACTGTAAGATATCTTCTCTTATCTTATTGTCGTCTGTAAATAAATGATAGAAGGAACTCAGTAATTTAAAAGTATGTGACATCAGAGTCCTGATGGAATGGTACAGATGGAATACTTGGAGCCTTGTTTCATTTGCTTCCTTTGTTTCATGTTCCCCCAATGCAGGACTTGGGGGTGGGCACAGACTGTGCCTCACAACAGGTTTTTTCCTTTCACTGCTGCTGTCTCAGGGGTTCCACTTTTTCTTGGGCAAGATCTGCAGAACCCTCTGCAGTTGCCCCACCACACTTGTGCTGATGGTTCCCAGTTGCCATGATGTCTTCTGTGCCTTCCACGATGGTTGTTGCTTCAAAGGGAAAATGGGATTGCTTTCTGCTGTGAAGTCTGTTGAGGGCTTGCTACTCTCAGGCAGAAAGTAGTTTGACTTGTACTTAAAAACGTTTAAAACTGACAATGAATGTAAAACTTAACTGGCTGTATGATGTCCTTTAACAATAGTATGGAGACTACAGTAGGTGATCCTTGGAATTGGGTAAAAAGTTGAAATAGCCACCTAATTTTTCTTCATTTTACAGAAAACATGATTTTAGCTTTCGGAATGCTCTTATTGAGAAGATCTGTGGAATAGCTATTTTGTGAGGGATTCAGCCCAGCAACATCTGTGCAGTACATGGTACTCAGGGTGTGTAAATCCCAGGAGGTTTAGTTTGATAAAACAAGTAGCTGGCCCACCACCGACCAGGCAGTCAACTAGGGGACAAGCTGCCAACTTACCAGGGTAGTCTTCATTCTGAGTTGGCTTCCCAGCACCTCACTGGGTATGTTTACAAAGCATATTAGGTGTATTTGATGTCCATTTCCCATCCCTCCCCAAAGCAAAACAAAGCAATTATTCTACTAGTCTTCACTATATACTTTGAATTTCATTGTTGTAGGTTCACGGCAGTGAAGCACTTCAGGTTGTTGTGTATTTGATATGTTGAGAAGAACTTCATGTTGTGGTAGTGATAAGATGCACGTGTTTCTGGTTATGACTCAGTTGTTTCAGCTGTGCACAAATGGTGTGAGAAATATGGCCATTCTGTTTCAGGTTTATAATCCAGATAGTTTGATTTCTTGCCATTTTTCTGACAGGTGCCTTGTAGTTGCTACCCCATTTCATTTGAGTTCTGTGCTTTTCGGCCAGGATTGCTACTGTTTTGTGATGGTCGGGTTAGCAAAATTCAAAACAAGTATTAGAGTAGGAAAATAAACTCTATGGTTGTGATAATATTCACAGATCGTATAGGCACAGTGAAAGGAGGAGCCACAACAAATCCTTACTGAAGGTGGGGGTGTTGCTGCCTCAGAATTTCTGCAGTGACACCTGTTGTTTCAGTGAAAGTGATTGCCTTGATGGAGCTCTCCTGTGAGTCACCAGCTGAGTCTGGAACCTGAGTTCTGTACCGAATTCACACGTGACTCTTCACTGGGGAGGGGGAAAGTGCTCTGAGTAGCATGAAGGGTGTGAACTTGAAATGTTTTGAAAGGTTTTGATAAGACAAAAACCTGTGTAGTAATAGTTCACAGGGTGCATACCTGCAGCATGTGGCTGATTGCTCTGATGCTCGCTGCTCCCCTCAGATACAGAGGAAAATAAAGTAGGTTTAAATGCAATTATAGTATGTGATGAGTTGTCTGTGCATTCAGCTCTGCACTATTGTAGCGTAATTTAGCAGCAATGCTTTTTACAAAAATTTAAGATCACTTAAGTTTTCACAGTGCCTCCTCAGATAATTATATTACATGATGGCTT